ATTTGTTGAAATTCAACTAGTACATTTTGATTTTTCCTGATACTCAATTTTTCTTGCCAACTAGTCAGAAGATACTGTATTTTTCATATTAGTAATAAATTATTTGAAACTCCTTTTGGCAAATATTTCATCACGTTTGAGTTGGTTGGTAATAGGTAATGTTTATTGAGTGTTAACTCCATGCCTGGCGGTTGTCTAAGTGTATGCACATATTATCTTTTGTAATTAAGTATTAAGTAACTTGTCTAAGGTTGTACAGCCAGTTAAATGGCAGAGCTGAGATTTGAACACATGCAATCTGCCCCATACTCTAAACCATTATGCTATACTCTCATATAAGAGACATTGAGACATTTTTGAAGAGGATGTTGTCTTTGCTCATAAGTTTATGTAATGATGGGAAATTTTCCAAATGTCCACTTTTAGAATGTTCTTACTATAGATGAGTTTCTTTCAAGAAGCAATAATTTTCCCACTAAGTATTAAAACATCACATTGACTTCAAAGACATAGTTTATGTTGGTGTGTTGTTGTTGTTTTAATGTTCGTCAGACAACATACAACTGATAGCCATCTGCTGTCACAGAATGGGCAGCTAATTTGGAACACTTAACTTTTTAAAAGAAAATTGTATAACTTATCTTTAAGCTTAAAACTCTTAAATACTTCACAACTGGAAAACCAACAGACCTTTTTGTGGTTCAAAGAATTGCAGTTTTTCTTTCTCATGCCCCGGTCACTTGTCTTGCCCCCGTCCTATTCTCTGATGGTTTTTCCCATCAGGAGTAGAATTGAATCCAGACTCGGTCCTCTGGCTTTCTTCAGCATTGTATTTTTATGAGACTGATGTGCTACCTACTGCACTAACAGGATACCTCAGATCATGTATTTTCAGCCCTAGGATTCTGTTTTATTCTTCTTCACATATTCTATTTCTCTCCTTGATTATGCTCATATTTTTGTTTAATCTTTGAGCATGGGCCTTCCTCCCTGGCCACTTGTGCTTTGCCTCTCTCCTTCCCCTTTGTTGCAGGCTTACCAGCTTCTCTCTGCCTTGACCATGCCACGTTCGCATCCACCCCTGGACCTTTGCAATGCTGTCTCCTCTGCCCAGGATCTTCCTGTATCTCCCCTTCACCATCCAGATCCCCATTCAGTGTCACCTCCTTCAACAGACCCTCACTGTCAGTCTGTCTCCAGTACCCATTCCCCGTTCTCCATACCCTGTTTTCTCTCTTACTCATGCTTGGCAGTCCTTGAAAGTATTTTATTATTTTATTTTATTTTGCTTTTTGTCTATATCCCTCACTTCAGAATGTCAAGTCTTTGAGAGCAAGGTTTTGTCTTGTTCACCATCATGTCCCCCCAGCACCTAGAACAGTCCTGATGTCACAGAATGTGTCCTTGAGTGCCAGCAGTAGACTGAACTGTGCCTGGCGCTTCCCTGCTCCTTTTTCCCCTAAATGCTGCATCTTCTTCATGGACTCACTGCCACACAGTCTCCATGGGTCTGGTCTGAACTCTTTGTCTCCTATTTTTTTTTAAAAAAAAGTCTATCTTTCCCAGTTTCTCTATCTGGAATGGGTCATTTACTCATCTGACCTACGTGGTCCATCCTGTTTTACCGTTGATATTCGTGAACATGGTCTATCTCTACTGTGAAGCTGGTAGGTACCAGCTGACATAGCCGAATGTCCATCCCATTGTCTCACTTGGGCCTTACCCAGAGCAGAAAGATGCTTAGGAAATACTTGTTCAATTAGGACTTGAAGAAACAGAATAATTCAGTTGGCTACTAGTTCAGGAAGCAGAAATCTTCATTAGAACTTTGTATACTTGTTTGCCTCACTGACTTCTCTCCTCTCCCTGTTTCTTGGGTGAGGAGCCAGCATCAGACATATTGCAGAGCCACCTCCCCCAACCCTGACTGGGATGTCTGGAATTAATGAGGTAATGTCACATGTACTTAGGAGAAGGTGCTGAATGAATACAGGTGACTGTGTTATTGTTCATTGTAATTATGTTCTTTGGGTCCTGTTGCATAATGAGCTCTATAGTGCCTCAGTGGGTGTTTTAGGAATTAACTATTAGATGATTGTAAAACAAATTGCAAGTTTGTCACATTGGGTGGATGGAACTGGCAATAAAGCCTGTTGAATTGGAGGAGGCAGGGAAGACCGGTGAGGGTTTTGTGTGTTCCTGTTCCACATATGGGTGTGTTCTCTTGCCTCCCCCAGACAATTCTCTAATTGAGCTGCTGAGATCGGAGGCTTGTGATGTTCAGAATAAGGCCTAACAATACTTGTGTGGGGTTTAAATAGCATTGGAAATCATTAACAAGACAAAAAAGCTATGATTTCCCCTAGATTAACATGCAGGTTGGGGTTTGGCATGCCGAAAATCGTTGTTTTGGTCTCTAGTCCAAACACGCTAGAGTCATTATATTGTCATGTGGTAATTAGCTGTTCCTTTAATGCAGGTAATAAAAATTAAGCCTAAGAGGTACTTTAGCAATGCCTTTTACATAATCCAAAACAAGATTCAAATGCTGCAGGCGTTTAGTCATTCAACTGTACTGTAGTAAAGTTTGGAGTTTAATGCATAGAGATGTTTGAACATTCAGTTCATTCTTTATTCTGTGACCAGTTTTGCTACTTAGGCATTAACCTTTAATAGTGTTAAATTAAATATACAACCCATAATGAATAATTATGAGATTGCCAGAATTTTCATTTACAATATAATGCTTTGAAATTTTCTCTAAAGGTCTAGTTACCATTCACTTGATAATATGCATGTTATTTTTATATGTCACTGAATTCCTTGCCGAATAGAATGAGGGAAGCTATTTTTTATTCGAAGCAGACACAGTGGGTCCTGGATTTTTATTATTTTTTTTTTTTTAAGGAATGGACTGGAAAAGTTGTCTACAGAAATTTTAGGGATGGGTTGCAGTATACTAGCTTAGCTCTCTAAAGATATAATTTGTACTGGCAGTTGTGCCAGAAAGCCTACATGAACGAACACTAATAGAATTTTATACAGAGCAGCAGCTCTCCTCCTCAGTCCTTCCCTGACCTCTGTATCAAGTTCAGATTGTAGTTATATGTGAAGGGGGCCGTGAAGGCATACAGTTTATTTCCTTCAGGCCATTTGCCCAGTACGAGGTCATGGAGGAAGGGGGGAGTAGTGGGATGGTACCCGGAAAATACTGAATTTAAAAAAACAAAACACCTACACCTGGAATGTTCTGAGTAATTCAGTCTTTACTGTTGTTACTATTTCTACTTACAAAGAACTATCTTCCCTAAATAGCTTTTGAAATCTAATTTAATATAAATATTTTAATGCTGATTAAAATAATAATGAAAAGCCACAAATAAGAAAGTGATGTAGTCATAAACTGTATACACACACAGAATAAGTGCCCGGCAGCCAGAGGTTTCACATGATGGACAGCGTTGGCATTAAACCCCACGTGCAGGTCCGCCGTTGTGCTGGACACATCCCAGTGCCCGCCTTTTGTAAACTCTGTAAAGACGTTGGCATCTCCGAGAGCTCCTGGCTCCTGGCAGACGCGTCGACTGAAACGTGGATCTAGCCCTCAGTTCCAGGAACCAGGGGTGGTCTGAAAAATTAATGACTCTGGTATTTGAAAATTAAGTGAGCTCTTGAATATATACCCTTGTTGATCCACTGTGCTCGGTGTTTAGCATTCCTCTACCGGAGACTAAATCCTTGCAGCCATTTCACAAGTGATGCTGGCGTCCATACCAGAAATATCTCCAATAATCTTTTCTGAGCCCAGCGGACTTGGGTATTCTACTCTGATGGAGCAAGCGTTCTAGAGGAAGTGCTCCGCTGGTGCCAGCAGGTGGATTATGCATGCCTTTTAGGCAGACGACAAAAAAATAAAGATAGAATGAATGCCAGAACAATGTTTACTGTCTCTCCATTTTGTGCCAACAGTCAGTACATAAATTCTGTGTCTGCAATCTATTTTTAGATTAAAATCCAGTTTTTTGTAAGTAAATCTGATGGCAGATAGTATATTGAATTAGCCACAAGACCTCACATAACTGGCCCAGGTGCCATCTCCTGCTGTTTATACTATAATTAATTAGAGTGTGGTGGTCTCCTGGCTACCTGGCCCAATGGCCTAGGACAGGTCACTGTCACCTCGGGTTGGCTCACCAGCTCACCTGACTCTCTTGTGAGTGTCCTTGATTAGTAAAGGAGGATTATGATAGAAAGTGAGCATGTCCTACTTATTAACTCCACTCCATCAGGGGATCTTCCTTGTTGGAACAACAGTCACTTGGAGTTAACAGACTTGGGTTCGAGTTCTCTCTGCCCACTAACTGGCCGGGAAACCTGGACAAGTCACTCAGCTTCCTGAGCTTTAGTTTCTACTTCTGTGAAAGGAACTAATACACATCTTACATTTCTTTCCCAGTATTATAGTGAGACTCAAAAGAGAAAATGTCTGTAAAAGTGCTCTGTGACAGTGAGGCACTCTCAGAGTGTTAGGTGTTATTTCAACTTCATAAGAATTACTGTAAACTTGTGGGTTAGGCACCTCCCCCCACACCATCGATCCTCCCGTGCAGCTCTGGGTGCATGGATGATCTCCCAGGGTGCCTCTGCTTGCTGTCGCCACATGTGTCTCTCTTCCTATCAGCTCAAGGGTTCATTGTCACACCATGCCAGAGCAGTGGGCATATCCCAGTGAGTCCATGGCCATTTCACCCTATTTTCATGCTTTGGAGGCCCTGGGTTGGGTCTGAATACACACACATCCTCTGTAGCAACAGAGAAGTGGCCCTAACCCAGCCATGGTGCTCCCAGGGACTCTGAAGGAGGTGGCAAGGCCCCATGTGCCCCAACTTCCGGCAAGTGGTAGCAGCCACAGGCTGGAGGTCTCCCTGAGCCTCGGTGTGACCATGAAGGTGGCTTGTCTGGGTTCAGAGTGGGCTGATGTGTGTTATCCTCTCATGCAGATCCTGTACCAGCCCTGGATCTCGGGCAGCAGCTCCAGCTCAAAGTGCAGCGCCTGCACGACATTGAAACAGAAAACCAGAAACTTCGGGAAACACTCGAGGAATACAACAAGGAATTTGCTGAAGTGAAAAATCAAGGTTGGTGGAAGATGCGTCTTTGCTTGGCTTTTTCTTTTCTTTTTTTTTAATTGCCTTCCCCATCCTGTTGGGACTAGCTCTAATTGTAATATACGTCATAAAGTCAGGGTGGGGTAAGAACCATAATCGTTAAAGAGAGATAATAATAATGCTTAGCTATTTAGAAGTAAAACTTTTCCTCTGCACAGTAACTACATCTAATTTTATTGCCCTGTGACGGGACTGATCAGGATTCTTTTAAAATTCTTCCTGTATCATCATGTGATAGGATCTGCCTTTTACAAGAATGATGTGTTGCCTGTGGGCGACACCTGTCAGAGATCCAGCTTATGATCAAAGGGTCACATACAGTAAGTCATTTAATAATTGCCACTGATACATTAAGGCTTTAGCTGCATCCTACAAGTCTGCATGCTTAAGCACTACTGTTTCCTTGTCAGCATCACCTATTCATTACAATTTAATGAAAGAAACGGCCTCTTGGTGTGGTTGCCCTGCCATCAACAAGACAAAAAGGGCAAAAATTGCCTGGCTTTTCCTGTCAGGGAAGAACAAAGAAATCGCTCCTGCACCTAAAATCCAGATGTGCTCAGATTCCAGGAGCCCTGTGACATCTTCTTGAAGAAAAAGCACAGCCCTGTCTGACGGCAGCTGCAGGTTTTTCAGGCAGCTCCAAGGAGACATGCAGCCTATTGGTTTTTGTCTGAGGTTTGGGTGAGCAGGAGCTAGCAAGGAAAGGCAAACCACTTCGGTGACCTCCTCCGAGTGGCCTTCTGTTTAATATTCTCCGAGAGTTGGATAAAGAATTAACTGATGAAGATTTTTTAAAGTGTCCTTGGGCTTTGAGCCCATTGAAGACAGGCTTGCGAGGAGAGATTGTCCACGAAAAGGATCCAGGAAAAGACTATGATGATCAGCTAGAAGGTACAGGCCTGGGCAGTGTGGGCAGCAGTCCCCTGGGTCCCCTTCCTCGGGGGACTAGAGGTGGGAGACAGCTAAGATACCGCCTCCCTCCACCCCCCACCCCCCACCCCCCCTACCCACACACCTCCATCTGGTGCCACCACGGGGAGCGATGAGTCACTGGGACTCGGGGACAGCTTTGTCCTGCTGGGAAATGAGGTGTTGGACTTACTAGACTGGGATTCGGGTGGGAGAAGGTGCTGCCTTTCCTCAGCAGGAGTTGTTTCTTTTCAGAACTATCGAAATGCTCAGGTGAAAGATAATCTGTAAAAAAAAAAAAAAGAAAGAAAGAAAGAAAGAAAGCAAATTCAGCAGGGGTGGGACAGGATGGAAACTTTACAAAGGGGTACAAGAAAACTGTTGGGATGATGGAAAAGCTAATTATTTTTATTGTCATGATGGTTTCAGGGGTATATACAAATGTCAAAATTAAATAAAAAAGAAAGATAACCTATAAATGCACATACCTGGGCTCCGCTATAGCCCTATCCAAAAGGAATGAACGTTGTTGTTTTTCCATCCAGTGACCTCTGGCATCTCACTCTTGGTGTGTATTTTCATTCTGTTTTGTTGGAGGATGGTGAGGTGCTGGTGTCCTTCCCCCGAGCCTTGCTTTCGTCAGTGCCTCCATGCCCAGCAAGGACAGCAACTGAGAGTGAAATGTTCTGCTCCCCAAAGGCCCACCTGATGGGTGTTTATAAATGAAAGAGTATATTATTTAGTCAGAGACTTAAGGACAAAGGCACTGAGGTATACAGGCCAGGTTTGAGTCCTTCATTGCTGCTACTTAGCTGTGTGACCTTGAACAAGGGATCTCACCTTGTGATAAGCCTCATTTTCTTGGGTGGGGGATTCTCACACTAACCGCATAAGATAGTTATAGGTAAAATGAGATGCTGGTGAGACATTTAGCGCTGTTCCTGACACCAGTGAAGATCGGCTGCTCTTATGGAGCACTGTTGTTTTTCTAGAAATCCCACCCCTTCTTTATTTATTGGTATATTAACAGATTTTCCAACCTCCAGAAAAATGTTAAGTTCTTCTCTTTCCTTCCCAATATAAAAATGATTTTAATTTGGAAGGGTTGGGGTGCATGTCACTTGTTTTAGTCATCACATATTGTAGATCGGTAAAAAGTTAGAGCAGGACGGGAAATTATTATGTGCTATAATTCTTTCCCACATTTAAAGATGAGTAAGTTGAGGCCCCGGCCATAGCCAATGAGAACAGAGCCCTTCAGTGCCCTTTCCGCCACACTATTCTCTCTCCTGTAGGGGGTCCTGCTGGGCACACCCAGGAGCATGTTCTGGAGCCAGACCTGTATACAGGAGGAGGACCACAGTCAGAGGCTCCAGGACAAATCAGCCCTGGACTTAGGCTCAGCCGATCAGTGAGCTACCCACCTCATCAGACGGAGTGGGAGCCCCAGCCAGTGCCCCAATGTCCCCTGGAAGGGGCATAGATGTGCCAAACTGAGAAACCCATTGGAATAAGCACTGGGGTCCAGGGGCTGAGCAGATATTTCCACCAATTGTTAAAGGCAGAAATTCTATATGTTTGCGTAGACCATTGACTTACAGAATGTGCAAGTGTTTTCAGAGGTGACTTTGGCCCTGTTGGTGTGGCTTGATACTAATGGGAACCACTAACCATAGTGCTCACAGAGCATTTCTTTCAGGCCCGGAATAACCAGTCCAAAAGGCAGAGAGCCCCCGTTCTTCTTTCAAATGCCCTGACAGGGTCACTAGTTTTGGCAGAGAGCCCCTGTTCTTCTTTCAAATGCCCTGACAGGGTCACTAGTTTTAAGGCATCGGTTCTCAACCTGTGGGTCACAACCCCTTTGGGGGTCGAAAGACCCTTTCACAGTGGTCGCCTAAGACCATCGGAAAACCCATATATAATTACATATTGTTTTTGTGATTAATCACTATGCTTAATTATGTTCAGATTGTAACAATGAAATTACATCCTGCATATCAGATATTTACATTACGATTCATAACAGTAGCAAAATTACAGTTATGAAGTAGCAACGAAAATAATTTTATGGTTGGGGTCACCACAACATGAGGAACTGTATTAAAGGGTCGCGGCATTAGGAAGGTTGAGAACCACTGCTCTAAGGAGAACCATCTGGGTTCCACTTAATAAAAACGGCCAATTTCTTCTTTTAAACAAAGAGCCTTTAGCTTTTATCCACTAAGCCCCATAAATACTAAATGCCCAGTTGATGCACTCCTGCCTTGCCCAGCATGTCTGTGCTGCTCAGGCAGTAAAGGTGGACATGAGTTACAACCTGAAGGAACAGGGGCCACCGAGCAAGCTCTTACTTGGGCGAAGATTTGGCAGGTGGCATTGTCCCATGAGCATGGAGCCCCATTGTCACAAGCCCTGTCTGGGCCTCACCCTGTCGGCCCAGCCTCAGCTCCTTCATTCATTATACTCGGCCATTTCCAGAGCACCCACCTGTGCCAGGTGCTGGGGCCACAAAGAGCCTCAGCTTTTCCTTCTAAGAGTTGGGTTCATGCAAGGGCTCCATTCTCCTTGGAGTTGGGACCACAGTGCTCTCTCTGCCAGGGACTGTTCAGCACACAGGGAGGAGGTATCTGTGGGAGGGAGCAGGTGGAGCGGTCCTGCCCTAGAGCCACCACTGCTCTTAGTTAGGACCCTGCCCCATTCATTACACCTACTTTGGTGTTCCCATTTTGGGTAATTGAAGTGACAGCTGTAAACATGGCATCCCTGGTGGGGGATCCCTCATGGCATCCCTGGCCTGAGCTTTCCAGGGCCAGCCTGCAAGGTGGGTCCTACCCAGCCAAGGAGATGCATGTTGTATCCACTCAGCACACTCCATATTTCATCACTGTGACATGGCAAAAGTGTGCCCACAGCCAGGCAGGCCTGCAGACATAGTGACTTCAGCTAAGATGGCATCTTCCAACATGTACACATAATTATGAACTGTTTTCTTTGTAAGAAAGTACTAAAACCCACACTAAAACATTATTAATTTTCCTCAGTAGAGGACTAATTTAAGACTCATCAATAAGATGTTATATTTTACCATTGATTCCCCCCTCCTTTTTTGTAAGTTGTATTAGAGAAACCATAGCTCTTCTTCCCAGAAAAATCCATTGATCCTCCTCAACCTAAACGTTTAAAGTTCAATTTAACATTTAGGGAGTAAAAGGTCTCTGAAGGGACTCATAACCATTGATTTTGTGTCAGAGTTGAAGAGCTAAAGTTTAAAACACACCGATCCTACTCGGTTACGAAAGCCTGTATATATAGCCACACAGAACTGTGCTTCTCTTACTGTAGTTTTTTTTTTTCTTTTCTTTTCTTTCTGCAGAGGTTACGATAAAAGCACTTAAAGAGAAAATCCGAGAATATGAACAGACTCTGAAGAACCAAGCTGAGACTATAGCTCTCGAAAAGGAACAAAAGTTACAAAATGATTTTGCAGAAAAGGAGAGGTGAGTATGTGTTGGGTTTGCAGGTACTGACATAATGTTTTACATCTAAACTTCACATGACAAGACAGTTTTTAAAATGTACCTGTGAAATATGCCCAGGAGTAAACCAAAATTCTAGGGTCTCTAGGGAAAATTATTTGAAAACTAAAGGTGTCCCCTATTCTGTAATGGGTGAGACTACCTTGAGTGAAATGTATCCGTCTTTTCCCGCTGGGGGACCGTCTCAGTCAGTGTGCCTGTCCAGGCCATGCATGAACTGTGTGTGGTTGCACATGGCAATTGTACATCCTTTCATTACCTCATAGTGCTTTGTAGATCAAGGAGCTGATGTCAGTAAAATATGTTCATGAACCATCCAACTGCTGTGAGTTTTAGATCTTGGATCGCCTACTTCACCCAAAACATTTCTACAAATAGTGAGCTGGTTTTCACTCTTATGATGATTTCATGAAAGTTAGATTTCTTATAAAAACTGTAATAGGATATAAGTTGGAGTTTTAGAACTCTGGTGAAATACAGATTTTCTATTTTAAAACTATCATGAAGAATGAGTGTATCCATTAACAAGAAGCAGTAAATGTGTGGTTTCAAGTGAGAATCCCGGCCTAATGTGTCCGGTTGACTTTGAGCGCAGGTTCTTGACTTCCATATGGGGGGCTCAATGAAGATGGGTATCACTGAGGACTCTGGAGTACTATTAAGCTGGCTTCACTTAGGAAAGAAGAATGCCTACTCCACTCACCTAGTGCCTGCTCTGCACCCACCAGGCCCTCTTGGAACATAGTCCAAAACAGACCTGCAAAGTGGGCATCTCATTTTACAGATGGAGAAACTGAGCCTCAGCTTACCTGCTCTCCCACCTAGTCAGCCTGAGGTGGGACCAGGGTCTGATCCACACTGCAGGCCTGGCCTCCCTGTGCTCAGACTGGCTTCAAAATCCTCACTTCAGGACCAAGGCCAAGCCCAACTCTACACAGGGATGCTGTACCCACACTGCTGGGAGATTGGGGCTGGGTGCACCCCCCAGAGAAGTCGGGGCTCTCAGAGATGAGTGGACTCTTAATGCCTCCTAGTAAAGCACTTTTTGCCCAAAGAAATTGCTCATCATGTTACTGATAATGGGGGGCGGCAGGGTGTAAGCAATTGAAACGCTTGCCAATGAGAAGTAGGTCAGTAAAAGGTGGAACATTATGCAGCTATTAAAATAATAGTCACATAGAATTTGTAATAACAACAGAAATATATCCAGCATAATATAAAGTGAAAAATGCATGATAAAATATTATGGACAGTGTGAGTCCATCTGCATAGAGCAAACATATATTACAAAATTATGAAAATAAACTTAATATGGCAATTTAATATTTTTAAGTTGACTTTTCAAAATAGGTAAAAGGATTTATTCTATTAAAAGATGTGAATAACTGACTGACCACTGGGAGTGGAGGGCAAAGCTAGATCTTTACCTCATTCTTTACATGAAAAAATTGAAATGGATCTAGGATTTAAATAATAATGATTAAATCATTTGCATATTGAAAGAAAGCTTGGGCAAATATTTTGTTTTTAATAATTTTGGAGTGGGGAAATCTCTGTAAGCATAAAAGGAAAATTAGGAAGTATGTGAAAATGTGAGCAATCTATTTTCATTAATTAAAATTTAAAACCTTTTTAAAAACAAATACCAATAGACAGTATTTTTAAAACATCCGGAGACTGGGAAGAAGTATTAGCACCACATAAGAAAAAGGACTAATTTTCTTTATATACAAAGAATTAATAAGAAAAAAGCGGCACCACAAAAAATGGGCAAAGGCGATCAGCAGACAGTTCATACAAACAGAAATGCTCAGCTTTACTCCGCAGTAAAATTACATTTAGTTTTATTCAGTGTTGGCATAGGAAAACAGACTAACATACTATTGAAGGGAGTTTACTTGGTGAGGTTTGTTTTGTTGGGAAGTTTCTCGACATCTATCTAAACAAAAAAAAATTGCACATATCTTTTGATCATTATTATCTAACAGTTGCTCTCAGAATTATGCAACAAATCTACATGATGATCACTGCAGAATTATTTAGTGGGAAATAAAAGATAAGCAATCTAAATGTTTTTAGAGACTTGCTTACGTCAATTATTTAATAAGAATAAAGAAGAACTATATATGCTAGAATAGAATATCTCCAAAAGTATGGAGATAAGAAAAAAAGCAAACTTCACAATGCCCTGTGTGCTGTCATCCCTTTTGTCCTAAAAGAAGGGGCAGGCAGTATATGTAATATACACTGCAGTATATACTACATGTGAGTGCATATTGAACTATAGTATATTACATATGAGTTTATATTTCAAAATCCTATATAATAAAGAGGTAATATGCAAATTAACTCTCATGCCCTCACAAGATAGCTGCCTACCACCAGGCCAGCAGGGGGGTTAGTAAGGGACGACCAAACAAATGAACATCAGGCTGCGTAGGGCGACCAGGCCAGCCCAGAGGCAGTTGGGGGCGACCAGGCTGGCAGGGGGGGAAGTTGGGGGCAATTAGGCTGGCAGGGGGGGCAGTTAGGAACGACCAGGCTGGCAGGGGGGGGGGAGGTGGGGACAACTTAGGGGCGACCAAGCAGGCAGGCAGGTGAGCAATTAGGAGCCAGCAGTCCAGGATTGTGAGAGGGATGTCCGACTGCCAGTTTAGGCCCGATCCCGGGGACATCCCCCAAGGGTTCCCGGATTGGAGAGGGTGCAGGCTGGGCTGAAGGGAATTTCGTGCACCAGGCCTCTAGTATTAGATATGAGTGTATATCACACTACAGTATATAACATGTAAGTGTATATTACACTATAGTATATTACCTATGAGTATATATTACACTACAGTATATTGCATATGAGTTTACATTACACTATAGTAAATTACATCAGTGTATATTACTTTAGAGCAGTGGTTCTCAACCTTCCTAATGCCGCGACCCTTTAATACAGTTCCTCATGTTGTGGTGACCCCCAATTTCATTGTTACAAATTGAACATAATTAAAGCATAGTGATTAATCACAAAAACAATATGTAATTATATATGTGTTTTCCGATGGTCTTAGGCGACCCCTGTGAAAGGGTCATTCGACCCCCAAAGGGGTTGCGACCCACAGGTTGAGAACCGCTGCTTTAGAGTATATTATATTTCTGTAAACGTAGAAAAATTTTAGAAGGCTGTGAAAGAACTCTGTATGAGGAAGAAATAGAACTAAGAAATAGAACTACCTTCCATGCTCTTATAATATTCACTAGTGGCCCGGTGCATGAAATTCGTGCACTTGGGGAGAGTCCCTCAGCCCGGCCTGCTTCCTCTTGCAGTCCTGGAGCCCTTGGGGGATATACGACTGACAGCTTAGGCACGCTCCCCGCAGGGCAGTCAGACATCCTTAGCACTGCCACAGAGACAGGAGAGGCTCCCACCACCACCGCTGTGCTTGCCAGCCATACTGACCACCAGGTGGCGGCTCCTGTATTGAGCGGGATCAGGCCTAAACCAGCTCTCCAACATTCCCCAAGGGGTCCTGGATTGCAAGAGGAAGCAGGCCAGGCTGAGGGACCCCACCGGTGCACGATCAGGGCCAGGGAGGGACACAGGAGGTTGGCCAGCCAGGGAGGAACCATGGGAGGGCTCCAGGGCATGTCTGGCCCATCTTGCTCAGTCCCAATCGGCCGGACCCCAGCAGCAAGCTAACCTACCAGTCGGAGCATCTGCCCTCTGGTGGTCAGTGCATGTCATAGCGAGTGATTGCGTGGCCTTAGCATATCATTAGCATATTACGCTTTGGTTGAACAGACGACCGGACACTTCACATATTAGGCTTTTATTATATAGGATGTTTTGGGGGTTTTTTGTTTGTTTTTAACTCAGGGCATATATTAATTTTATAATTGAAGTATGTGAAAATATGAGCAGTCCATTTCCATAGGTGATGGAAATTTGGGTACTTTTTTAAAACTGTCATTTCTACTTTTCTGTATTCCCAGATTTATTATTATGAGAGCATATGTTATATTCATATGATGTAAAAATAATAAACTTATTTTTGGAGAATTTTCTGCAGATTAGGAGGAAGGAATGTTATTTATTGACCAGGGAATTCATTTGGAGATCATGGGAAATGTAAATATGTGGAATGTAGTTTAAAACATTCAGTATTTCCCATTAGGTATTGCAGTTGCATTCGCATTCCATTATCACAAAAATGGAACAGCTGTCACATCTATTTAATACATCCTTTATTCCAACAAATTCCTTCATTGTGTCAGCAAAATGTAGATGTATCATTCTTCGTGGGCTAACTTCAGAAAACAATGAGTGCATGATGATGATTTTTTTAATATCTGGCATTTCAGAACCAATTACATTTAGGATGACCTTCTACATCAGTTACCACCCATCAAGTCCCACAGGATGCACACTTCACTTCATGTAACATGTGGGCACAGAGTTGGGTAGTAGAAGATCATCAGTAGGTGAGCTCCTCAGTGCTCATGGCATGACAAGTGATACCTGATCATGTGCCTGTTGCTGGCTGTGTGTGTTATGGTGAAGATAGCTGATCATCTTAGCTCCAACACACACAAGGTGTTTATGTTGGTAAACAAGATGACCAATTTGGCTTTCTTCTCTTCCTTTTCAGAAAGCTGCAAGAGACACAGATGTCCACCACCTCAAAGCTGGAAGAAGCGGAACATAAAGTTCAGACTCTGCAAACAGGTGTGATATTCTTCATGCTTGTCAAGTTGATGCAGGGAAGACTGACATGGGGGAAGTTTGGTCGATCTCCAGGTCTCTCCAGGCCCCCTCTGCTCTCTGTTGCCCCGCCGTGGTGAGCCTGGAGGAGGAAGGGCGCCCACGCTCCAGAACGCCACAGAGAGCCCCCCGCTTCTCCACCTTGACTTCTTAGTCACCCACACTGAGTTGTTAATGTCGAGGCGGGAGGATCTGAATTACATTTTCATCCTTTCCACAAGCCATTCTTTATTCCTGCTCTTTTTCCAACAAACTCATCTAAATCACCAAACTGTCAAGGACCGACATTTCATTTGGAACAATATTAGGAAAAGAAAAACTTATTTCTACCCCTAGTGAAGTTAAGGAGAACAGAGATAACAGACCTTTAAAATGTAAAAGATAGCAAGAAAGGTTATGCTAAATTTTTTATTACTTTTTTCTTTTTTTTATTCTGAGGGAAACAGCACTATATGTTTAATTTAAATGGGAAAATAATCACAATAAACTTAACAGACAATGCATAAAACTCAATATATAAAGACTACCTACAAATCATAAAAGTAGATAAACAGTCCAGTAGAACAGTGGAGTAAGGATGTGAACAGGCAATTTGCAGAATAAATACACATGGCTGATACACATGAAAAAAATGTTAACAATTTTTAATAGTCTGGGATATGCTAATTAAATCAGTGAACGATTATTTTGCCTAGCAGACTGTCAAACAAATTTTTAATTGATAGTCTTCGGTGTTGGTGAGTACATAGGAAAATAGTCTCACTCAGAGTATTCGTGGGAATGTAATTTGCCTGTTGGGAGGCCAGCTGGTGGTATTGATCTGCAGTTGGAATGTCGAAGCTCCTTACCCCAGCCCCTCACTTCTAGGCACGCTGAAGTGCCTGACGTGGGGCAGGCAGGCTCTATACCCGAGCTAATTGTTACTGATAAAGGCAAGTCTCAGGAAATACTTGTATCATCCTATTTATGGGGGATGAAAAATAGATAGATACATGTACAACAAGCACGTCAAACTCAAAGGCTAGCACGGGCCAAATAAATGAGGCATGCGGCCCACGGGTCGTGAGTTTGACATGCTTGATGTACAAAGATGTATGGGGATATTTTTAAACAACAAAATATATTTAAAGGGAAGAAATCTAAACACTAATATAACCAGTGGTGATCTCTGAGGAGGTGCATGGGATGAAATGAGGTGGAAGTGAAAGGCGATTTTCTATTCCATTCTGTATACTTTGGTAATTTTTTACTCTTTTGAAATGAGAATCTGTTACTTGTATACTGTTCCTTTTTAAATTTAATTTAAACAATTAGTGTCTTATGTTATGGTTTTACGTCCTCTTCCTTTCAGCCCTGGAAAAAACTCGAACAGAATTATTTGACCTGAAAACCAAATATGATGAAGAAATTACTGCCAAGTAAGTCTCTGCCTGGCTTCCTCCATCTGCACGTTTGGTCAGGTCTCACATGATTTTGCCAATCCATGAAGGATTTCCCCTCTTCTCCCTTCTGTCTGTTGGCTTTGCAGAGCGGTTCAGGGTTTAGAAGTGCTTGGCCTCTGGAACTGCTGTAAGGAATGCAGTGTCATTCCCATGAGTTGCTTGTGTCAGTTTAATACCCAAGCTCTGGTGCTCTCAGAACAATCCTACCACCTGAAACTTCCTGGAAAGAAAGTTCTGCTGTGCTCACTCACACAGGCCCTAGTGGGCTGGGGGAGGTGGCGGGGGCGGGGGTGGCGCTAAATAGTGCCACCCTACTCCCAGGATCAAAATGTAAAACATAGTTACTCCTGTGGATCTCAATTATAAACCATTTTGAAAAACATTGCTTTGAGAGCGTTAGAAAAGTTCAACTTCCAGCCTCGGCTGGTGTGGCTCGGTTGGTTGGGTGTCATCACGTGCACTGAAAGGCTGCCAGTTTGATTCCCAGTCAGGGCACGTGCGGGGTTACAGGCTCAATTCCCGGTAGAGGGCCTGCAGGGATACTGTCCCTGGTTTAGATTCATCTTTGCTTCCAAAAGGCTGCATGGAAAATTTGTGTCCACCTGATCGGTTTGTTTTAGGGACTGAGGTTGAAACAGAACAGTCATCCAGTAAGGACTTAAATTTCCTTCTGCTCTAAGGTTTTCATCTTCTCTGGGTAGGGAACATGGTGGCTGGGGAAGTGACTGGGAGACAGAATCAGAGAAGGGATGTCGTAGCCCCTGTCCCCATCCTTTTCAGGACTCACTATAGGCCAGACTAATGCTGCGGGGTAATTCACTTCTCTCAACCAGAACCAGAAAACTGTCACAATGTATGGGGATCAATTGCTCATCATGAAAATACTTTGCTTTGGGACTGGCTGTTGTCACAAACTGCTGACAGGGTCATGGGTGCTCCTGGTGTGTGTTCCCTCCTGTGATCATAGCAGGAAATTCTCCAATGATGAATAGGGAGGCAGGGTGTGGTATGCACATGTGCACGTGGAGAGAACAAGCCTGACAGAAACACAATATGCGTGACTCAAAAATAACAGGTCCACTCATTAGTCCAGCAGACATTCCTGGAGGCTCCTTTGTGCCTAGACCAGTGCTGGGCTCTGGAAAGCCTGGGATAAAAGGCTCAGGAGAGAGAAAAGCCATTGCAATCCAGTGTGATCACTGCTGTAATAGAAGGAACATTAATTATGACGGGCACCTGTGCCAGTCAGGGTCTCTGCAGAAGACAAGGCAGCACACTCCAACTAGGGTAATCAGAGAGAGTTTAAAGCTGGACTGTTCACTGTGGCTTGGGCCAGGAGGGGGGCAGGGGGAGAGACATAGAGAGAATGTAGCATCCGTAGTGAGCACTGGCTGGAGTCTGCCATGCCCAGGTTTGAAGTGACCACCTTGAGAGGAACTGGTGGCCTTTGGGAGAGTTGAGAAATCTGGGGTGGCACCAGCACCCCGTGGACGTACCCTCCTTCCTTTCCCTGCCAGGAATCCTTGTGGCAAACTTAGAAGCCAGAGGGCAGCCCCTGGGAGATGGGGGAGAGGGAACTGGAAATGAGAATGGCAAGTGTCCCCAGCACAGGCCCAGCTAGAGCGAAAGGAAAGAATTGTCAAGGAAGCCTTCCTGAGGGAGTGACATGTGATTTGAGGTTGAAAGATGAGTCAAGATGAGGAGCTCCTGGAGGCCAAAGGAGGTAGTTTGTGAAAACAGGCCAGCAAGGTTGCTCTTTGGAGGACCATCCCGAAGTCCTGAATGGCTTCTCTGCAGGGTCAAGATGGGCACGATGGGTGCTGAGGGTTGGACTTGGGCTCACACAGGGACCCCGCATTTCCCAAATCAGAGATGGACAACTACTAACAAAAGGCAGCCTGGGGGCAAACACTTACTGTAGATGGTTCCCAGAGTAAGTAATCCACAAAAAATGTAGAGAATGGACTGAGATAATAATTGCTACTTTCTTTTAACTTTGGAGGCAATTGCTTCAGTCTTGGAGATCCCACGTGAAGCTTCCCCCTCCGCATTCCTCTCCCCTTCTATTTTCTGGGAAAGGTTTGTCACTCTTATCATCTGCTTCAGCCCCAACCTATGTATGTTTTATTAGAGTAGACAGCTTTTCTTTAATACATATAAATATAAGCCCTCCAGGGGCAAATCTTTTCACAAATGGTCTTAAAACATTTCAGAACAATTCATTGTATATCTTGGAAAGGAACAATTCTTATGTATTTGTTGACAGAAAACATAGGAAGGGGATTGGGGAGGCATAGGGGAATGTGGGCTTTGAGAAAACTGACCTGGGAGTGGTTCACACAGGGCCACTACTCACTCTCCCTGTGTGACCTTTACATCTCTCTTTTCTCAGCTGTACAATGGGTATAATAGTAGTCAAGGCATGGGGCGGTTGTGATGAGTAATGAGAAGGTGTGTGTGTGCAGCACCTAGCACACAGTGACAGCACTATCAGCAGTAGAAGCTATTCCTAGCAAACTTGCAGGAGTGCTTGGGGTGCTTTTCTGAAATTAGCAGATCTTGGAGAAGACTGACCTTGCTGGCATCATCGCTCCATGAGATTTAAAGAGCATGGGTTGCCTCTGCCTCTGTGTTGCTGGAAGATGTCACTGGTGTGACCATCCCTCACCCCCATTTTTGTGTGACCTTTACATCTCTCTTTTCTCAGCTGTACAATGGGTATAATAGTAGTCAAGGCATGGGGCGGTTGTGATGAGTAATGAAGAGGTGTGTGTGCAGCACCTAGCACACAGTGACAGCACTATCAGCAGTAGAAGCTATTCCTAGCAAACTTGCAGGAGGGCTTGGGGCGCTTTTCTGAAATTAGCAGATCTTGGAGAAGACTGACCTTGCTGGCATCATCGCTCCATGAGATTTAAAGAGCATGGGTTGCCTCTGCCTCTGTGTTGCTGGAAGATGTCACTGGTGTGACCATCCCTCACCCCCATTTTGTAAAGAAGCCTGCAGGTCGAAGGCACCAGGGCTGTTCCAAGACCCCTGTTTATTGTGTACAGTCATCACCCTGCGTCAGCTGGGACAGCACGGGCTGACTGTGACGGCCACCACAGCAGTAAAGTTTTCCATGTGTAGGCTTGAAGCAAAATGTAATTAGCCTTTATGTGCAGAACAAGGACCCATTGATGAATACAGCTGGTCTTTGTTTGGTCCTGTCATTGAGAGTGGGAGGTAAAAGTGTTCTTCTTCATGTTTATTAATGCAAGATTCCTTAGACAAATGGCAAGCACAGTTTAATATTTGTTGGAACATAGCGGCGTTTGCCAGAACAGTTGTTGTGTAATGGGTTTGCAGGGTTTCAGATTATAACCATTTCTGGGTTAAATAAATGAATTATTTCTCTGCCCTCGCCGCCTTTATTTTTAGTTAAAAAGGTACCTCCTCCTTCTCAGGTGGTCGCCCTGTGTACAGATCTTCCCACTTCTCTCAGCAAATGGAGAATTAGTACCTAATGACTTTAACTTGGAGATTCTAGCAAAGCAGAGTGGTGTGGAGTGGTTCCGGGTGGACTTGGAGGTGGAGAGAGGCCTGGCGCCATCACCCAGGCCTCGTCTCTGTGCCTGTCTTTCACAGCTGTTCACTGGTTCTTAGACTTAGGTTGCTGCTGCAACTGCAGAAGGAATGCAGCTCTCCCAGCCAAGATACTAGCATTCTGAGCAAAAGTGCAGGAATTCCCATTTCAGCTCAAGTCCATGGCCACCTCTTTGCTCTGTCTCCTAGAATCCTGGTTGCAAAAGGAGCTTCAGTTGTAACACACAGTCAGCTTACTACATTCCTCTTAACTTGTGGGCTGCGGCTCTGAGCCTCTGATGAAAGAAAATATTGAATTGCACTGAAATACTACATTTTTTTATAGCTAATGTTAGTCTTAGGAGAATTTGCACCTCCCAAACCTTTCCTGCCAGCAAAATTTATGTTTCTTAAGGTAACTCATGTTGTATTCCTTGCCTATAAGAGCTACATTGTATATGCATGTACTTACATACTACATTACAAAAGAGACATTTATGAGGAACTTCACTTTGGTTAATTTTATAGTGTTTTCTTTATTTCAAGTATATAACCAGTATTTTATCACAATATACAATATGCTCTGAGAAAGCAGAAAACTTTCCCATTTGCGCTTGGCTTACAGTTTTGCTGAAATGGTTTCGGGGAGCCTGTGCCTGCATTGTGGAGATGGGGGATTCCATGCCCATCAGTGGGGCCTGGAGGACCAGAAACACGATTTGAAAAGGTGACAAACCCGACAGCTCAAGACACGACTCCCAGAAGGGAGATGCCACCGGTGTCTCATAGAATGGAGATGGGGCAGGTGCCTTCCCTGCATACAGATCACCTGGACTTTTCACGGTGGTTTCGAACAGGGTATCTTATTTACTCTTTCCAACAGTCATTGAGAAAGCTTTTATTGTGCTCACTGCATGGACAGGGAAACAGTCCCAAGACATGCAGTCAGGCCCCAGATCTAGTCCTTTGGACTCGAAATGCAGTGCTGTTGGCACACTACACGGTGGCCTGTAAGGACCCTTGTGCTGCCTCCTCATGGGAGCAGTGTTGCCTGTGTGACAGGCTCCCTGAAGGGTTTCAGTTCTCTGTCCCTATCCCACAAGCCCCATTGGATCTACCTTAGCAGACTGATTTCTCTTTTACTTATCTTTTTACAGCTCCACATGCAAGACTTAGGCAACTGGGCCTGATAGAGCCCGGGTGACGAAGCCTGAGACTCGCACACTATTTTGATAATCCTCTAGGCCAGCGGTTCTCAACCTGTGGGTCGCGACCCCTTTGGCAGTCGAACGACCCTTTCACAGGGGTCGCCTAAGACCATCCTGCATATCAGATATATACATTATGATTCATAACAGTAGCAGCATTACAGTTATGAAGGAGCAACGAAAATAATTTTATGGTTGGGTCAT